TTTGCTTCACGAGTTATGGCGAGGCGACGGTTGCGACGGGCTGACTGCGTCTCATTTCGTCGATTGAACAAAAAGGTTTGCTGACAGAGTATCCTGAAGAAGTACTTCTTTCAAGACGAAAGCTTCTTTCAAGACGAAAAGCACTTCCATAGCGTAATTTACTTCAGCAGAAGCACTATAAAGCTTCACAAGAATGCAGGGTTCTGAACAAAACTTTCCCCCAGACGGGAATCAAACCCGCACCTCTTGCTTACCAGGCAAAAGCACTACGCGCTGCGCTAGGAATGTGCAGATAGGTGGGTAAATCTCGTAATCGAGTTCAAAATGCTTTTAAATTCCTTCACGGGGAAGTGAATAAATGCTCTCTTTTCGTAACCACTATTCGTCGTTCTGATCGAAATCCTACTGTTATATGTTTAGATAATCTTTACGCATTGGACATTGCAGAAATTATTTTGTGACATTCATGTTTTTGTTCATTTACAAAACAAAATCTGCGGTGTGTGGTGAGGCGGCGGCGCCCACAAAATCGCGTCCGTCCCACGCGACCGAAAGTGGAAAAGGGTCGCCGTCGTGAATGTGTTAACTTGCTGACAGCTATGGTAAGTACACCATGAAGAGCTGAGTCGTGATGAAATGGTGCCCGGTAGCGTAACTTGGTAGCGCACTTGCCCGGTAAAGCAAGATGTTGGGTTCGAGTCCCGTCTGGGCAAAAGTGTTATTCCAACATTCTTGTGAAACATTCGCAAGACAAACTGCATCCAAAAACTGCAATTAACAAACAAAAAAAAGCATTGTAAAGCGTTGTTGTACTCTTGAGATAGAGAAAATAGTGTAGATTGTGAAAATTTGCTCATTCTACGGAATATTGTCTCAAAAAAAAGTGACGGTCATTAAAAGTGTGAAAATAGAAGAGGAACACCTCAGCGTTTCTCCAAATAATGTGTTCTTCTTGTAAATGACTTCGAATCCGGATCTATAGGATCTGCACAGGGGAAGGGCAAAAAAAGACTCATGCCCATTGCCAATGTCGCACTTCGGCCCTTTTTTCTTCGCAGAGATTGCCGTCGTTGACGGAAGTTCCTCAGCAAATATTTCCCTAAGTGTCCCTCTATAAGTGACGCAGGCCCTCCTTCACTGCCCTCACCGTCTTCAGAATATGACGTCATCTGTCACCGTCGTCAAGCTCAAGGAGGTCTACCGTAACTGCTTCAGCCTGAAGCTCTTACGCAATTTCGTGAATCGATTCAATGTTGGATAGTTTTCTAGAGGCATTAGCTCCACTATGCAAATCCCCTCGAAACTCGCTTTTCCAGTAAAGGTCGTTATGGTACACGATCCTTCGAAGACCCCATTGAGCTCGACCAGTGCACCATGTTTCCGGGGCAAATTTTTCTGATGCCGTCCACGTAGGTGGCCACTATTTTTCTTATAGAATGGAATGTGCTCTCCAGTATCAAGATGGATCCATTCGTTTTGAATTGAGCAGAGTACGATTAGACAAATCGTTTTTTCATTCCCCCTCCCCCCTGTATAGTGGAGTAATCATATTCCAAGAAATGTCAAACATATACTTTAGAAAAACGTGCAACACGCGATACGCAATGGGTTGAGCAGCATCTGGACTTTCAGTCAAGTGACATCAGTTGAATATTAGGGAAAGTGACCTACATGGATGGCTTATGTAGATTGCCGAGCTGAAATCTTTCGCTGCCATTTGCGTGTCACCAGTAGATCCGCGTGTCTCCCAACTAGGCAATTTTCCTCCTATTCGACCTTCTTTTTTGTCGTGGATTCCTTTTTGATCAGAAAGTAATGCGGATTTTGACATGCCATATTGTGTGTTGTTTTATAGAAACCCTTATTTTGTGTGCCTTATTGTTACGCATCATTCAAGCCCATTTAATTCTCTCCCTCACACTGCCCTTGACTTTTGATACAGTTCGGACCATTGAGTTTTTTAAGACTCGAATTGAAAGTGGCACATGGCGTACTTCAAAGCATCTGAAGGTACCGAAGAAGGCTAGGAACTTGAAGAATGGGTAACTGACTGAGCAGCAGCTAGATATCAGCTCGGAAGTCTTGTCGCAGCTCACTTTACTTGACAAAAACGACCAACACTCGGATTACTTTGTTATTTTTAACAAAACTGGATTTTTTGCAAAAAAATGAACTGCTTTTCGAACATCTATACGGCCATGGACTCCAGAAATGTTTTGCAAAGCCACAATTCCACTAGGTGAGGGTCACGCCGATCTCTCCGTGACAGTAATGATGCAGCAGAGCTTTATAAAACAAAGTGAATTTGATACAGCATCCATTTATTCCCATCATACCAACGTAAAACAGCAGTTTGCAGCCGTGAGAAGTAGAAGAATGCTTTTTTAGGATGACGCTCAACCACGAGTCGCACAAACATACTTGCAAAAACTGAACGAATCGACCTATCCAACTTGGCTTCCGATGATGCATTCACAATCCCTATCACCAACCTCCTTTTTCTAGTCTTCTCAGCAGCTGGAGCAGCAAAAGATTCAAAAACTGAGAAAAATGTGGAAAAGTGAGAGATATCCGGCGATTCTTACATGGCTCCAAATTTCTGACTTCGCCATCACTTCACCAAGCTCTTTAGTTTCCATCGGTTTATACCCAAGTGAAATGGACGATATTAAGTTGAGACAAACTACTACTTATGCATACATCAAAACCTGCATTACTTTCTCGACAGCTTGACAATTCAACAACATTCTGGTACTTAATTTTTGCCTCTCGAGGACTGGTACTAGGGTTCTTGCGCCTCATCCTTACCAGTTCTTCTTTTTCAAGACAATATACTGGAGTATTTACTTCCTCCTCGGTACAGAAGGAATACAAGTCCAACCTTAAGGTGAATCACTTCCCTACGCGCATACTCTTCTGCCGTACAGCTTGGGTACACAACACACACACACGTCTAACACCTGCATACAAAACAGTTTCCCTGTCATTTTTCAAACCATTTTGACTCATTTTTCTCAGGAGTACTATCGACTAAAGAATGTGTGCTGTTTCAGCGCAGATGCACATTTTTTTTCATATTTTGTGCATGGCGTATCCCAGCATGGCAAGGGGTTGCCTATTACAGAGTGCTCTATGTTTCACCATTCATCTACACTCCGTTGCAAAACTATACGACATACCCCAAATTTTGGGTTTCTGAAGTTACGAGAAACATAGCACAAAAATGGGTAATGCCATTCGATTCGGCGTGTAAAGAAACTTAAAAAAAACCTTTACTAAAGTGAAAAAATTGTCTAAATTTCTGCTATGTCGTATAGTTTTGCAACGGCCATTTTTTCATTTTTTTGACCCTAGATTTCTGGAATTGACAGAACTGCTTGAGATTCTTAAAGGTTTCTTTACACGCCGAATCGAATGGCATTACCCATTTTGTGCTATGTTTCTCGTAACTTCAGAAACCCAAAAATTTGGATGTCGTATAGTTTTGCAAGGGAGTGTATTGGTAAGGTGAAGCAGCATAACTCAAGGTGTATTTAACTTATGATTTTGAAGCGTTGCGGTTGCTCATTTAGGAGGATTGTATATTGCACAGTGTTAATTTTTTAATGAACTAACGAACGGCAAGGGATCGTTTGTGAAGGATGAGCACTCATTTCGGTTGTTCATCCTGGGATTCCTTACGTGAAACCAGAATGCTACCAGCGCTTTTCTGGCTAATCTCGTCTCGCACGCCAGCACTTAACACCAGAAACGTTTCCGCTGTGCTCTTCTATCGCATCTGTCCTAGCAGTCTTTCACTATATAAGGACTTTTAGGAAATGTACTGTGCTAGCTGCTGAGCTATGACGAAGCGTCCTGCTTATGCTTACCCTTGGCGCGTCGAAAAAATGTTTGATAAATGGCTCGAGAAGACCTGATCAATCTCGTAAGCCATGTTTTATTGCTCTAAAAAAAGTGGTATCATCTTCAGCTGCAGCTTTACTTTTCCTCATACATTTGCACATGAATATAGCATACAAGAACTAAATCCTCGTTATCTAGCTAGGGCAGCTCTGTGTTTGATGGAAGGGCGAATGGGGCTACTGTCCCTTAGCTGTGGTAGGATTTCGTGACGTGGTTAACTGCATCAACACCACTTCGGTTTCACCAAACCTCACATAATTATCGTTACTTGACCACTTTTGAACAGGTTGCGCTCAAGTGGGCAGCTCTCAGTAGTTAGGAAGGAATCGCCTGAGCTCGATCTCACTTCTCCAGCTTCTTTTTCCGAGAACGGTCAGAAGACGTACCCTCCCTTTCGGAAAAACGAGGAAAGGGCTGGATGCAAAACATACACCTGAAATGACGACGGCTTCCACAAATGAAATCCATTGTGTTGCATACGCGTCACTTCCAGGAGGTGTTGGTGTCACAGGAGGAAGGGACCATAGCGGAGGATAGAAAGCTTGCGCAGGAAAGGAAGGTCCCGGCGGTTGACGGGGGACTAATCTGGTATATAAAGAATGAAGGATTTGGGTTTTATCATCTCTTTTTTACTTATCAA